GCCCTGCCAAGGCATGAGGGGTGCGTTAATGAAATGTCTGACCAAATATAGCAGGCTAATTTTGAAGTTGATAATTTTGTATAGCCTGAGAAGGATGTTATAAATATCCAAATGGCCCTTGGCAGGAATAAAAGGTTCCCCACCCCTGCTTTAGAAAAATGCCCGGGCCAGAGTTAAACATGCCATTTTAATAAAAAGGTGTGAATTGCAAATGAAATTTAAAAGCAATACATTTTATTTATCCTCAGGCAGGGGGGTCCCATAGAATTTTAAGAAGAAGGATGCCACTAACTAGGTGTCTTTGGGCAAGTCCCTAAAATTGGTTTCTCCTCTGTGATTGCACGTTAAGTAGATTAGAGAATCACTAAGGTCCCTCCAAAAGGAAGGAGATTCTTCTAGAGCAGTGTTTCCCAAACTTCTCTCATAATGAGAATCACCTGGTGGAGTTGTTAAACTACAGATTCCTGAATCCCAACTAAGAAGTGCTAAACTAAGAATTTAAGTTTAGAGCACTAGTTAAGTATACAATTTTACCTATATGTTCCCAAAAATTCTAGTTTAGCACTTTTTAGTTGGGATTCAGGAATCTGTATTTTAACAACTCCACCAGGTGATTCTCATCATGAGAGAAGTTTGGAAAACACTGTTCTAGAGAATACCAGAGCTTAGTGGACACTATGAATTTATGGCATACACTTCATAAAACACTAGTTATAAAGTAAGAGATACCACTTACTAATAGGCCATTAAAAACTCCCAAATCACTATCGACCTATAATAGAAGATACTGTAAACAAAAAAAGCCCTTCAATTATTGTAAGAGTTAATTAAATAATGAATAATTGCGAGGTACGAAATTCAAGACAAACGTAGATATTTTCATTTTTATATAACGTTCCTTTCTTATTCAGAGCAAGAAATTATTGAGCTTCTTAGTTCAGAAGGATCCCATGTACTGAGTCTAAGTAATCCCACATTCAAACTGTGAGGACTCCAGCTGAAACCAGTTTGACTCAGTGGTAGACCATTGGCATGCGCACTGAAAGGTCCCAGGTTCAATTCCGGTCAAGGGCATGTACCTTAGTTGCAGGCACATCCCCAGTAGGAGGTGTGCAAGAGGCAACTGATCCATGATTCTCTCTCATCGATGTTTCTAACTCTCTATCCCTCTCTCTTTCTATGAAAAATCAATAAAATATATATTTTTTTAAATGTGAGGACTCCAAATGGATGCTGCTTTACAGTAATTCAGGAGTCAGCAAACTTTCTGCAGAGGGCTGGAGTGTAAATGTATTTTAGGCTTCCTTACCCCTGCTCCGGTAGCACCAGAACAGCCGAAGTGTAAATGCATGGCCATTGACTGCACTCCCATAAACCTTTACTGTATTTATGGACGCTGAAATTTTAATTTCATACTGTTTTCAAGCATCATCAAGTTTTATCATTTGTTTTCCTTTTTTTTTTTTTTCCATTCGGTTGAAAATGTAAACATTCTTAGCTCATGGACTACGCAAAAACAGGCAGCGTGCAGGATTTAACTGGCCGTGTTTGCCAGCCCTGCTGTCATGCTGTATTTTGAGAAGGAACGTGGTGATGTAGAAAATCCAGAATTGGCAGCTATCCCTCTGGGATTTGCACTGGTTGGTTGGTTGGTTGGCTGGTGTTGTTTTGTTGTGCTGTTCCCATCAGCCTTTTTCCTAAGGGCTTTCTCCACAGACCAGTTTCTCGGTCCCAGAGGCAGGGACAGGGGCTCAAGCATTAGCTAAGGCAAGCCTGACACCTTGAGGTCACCCTGCAAGTGGCAGGAGCCACCCGGGCTGGGACATAGGAATCCAGATGGGTTGGAGGGAGGGAGAGGGCCGCCATGCAGGCTCCACCCAGCAGTGAGCCAGCCAGTTGTTGTTCTTGTAGTTGTTGTTATTGTAGTTGTTGTAGTTGTTGTTGTTGTTATTATTGTTGTTAGAATGGGGCAGGATAAGGTTCTTCTCCACAGGAACTTCCTCAGGGGCATTTCATTGTCTTAAAACAAAAACAAAAAACTCCCAGAGCCTTCCCAGCTGAGACTCTGGCCTGTGTAAGTCTCCCACTTGTGGCCAAGAACACACAATAGAGAGGAGGGGAGGGGGGCTGGGCACAGCCCTCCACCCGCCTCTCTCAGATGCTTGCAAAGGAGAAAGTAGGAAACCCACAGGGAACCAACTGCTATTGAGAACCAGGAGTTTTCCTCTGGGAAATGGCAAACCAGGGGCTTTAGGAAGCAAAGGTGAAAGATCAAAATGGAGGGGGAGGAGAGATTAATCAAAGAATTTATATACATAGCCCATGAACACAGACAGTAAATAGTGTGGTGAAGGTCTGGGGGCAGGGGGCGAGGGGGGATATGAATGTGGGGTCAATGGGAGAAACAATGGAATATCTGTAATATTTTCAACCATAAAGATAAATTTAAAATAAATAAATAAAAGCCCCATTTCCTCCCCCCCCCCCAAAAAAAAAAAAATGTTACCACAGGCCTGAAGCAGAATGGGATTCCCCTTGGCCTACCCAGGTACCTCTCCCAGGTCACACCCCTGTGCCCGGAGGGAGTGTTTTGCTAATTTGGGGGAAAATACTGCAGAGGCCACTATTTCCATTCTCCTCCCACCATCCCTGGAAGTGTTTGGGGGAACATCTGAGACACCAGTCCTTCCTATCTTGTAAATTATCCAGGAAAGACAAGGCTGCAGCCAGCTGGGCTGGGAAGTTCAGCCTTCCTTTCCTCCACCCTTCCCTGCTGCGGGGTCTGCGGCCACAAAGGGACTTGACGGCTCTGAGAGCCACCTCTTCAAGCTCAGAGAGTCACGTGTTGCGTGTGGCAGGTTGCGTGCTGAACCCCATGGCTACTGACTAGAAGGAGTTGGATGGCCTAAGACGACCTCAACTGTCAGTGCCCCCAACACAGGCAGAAAACTGTCAGCAGAGGGAGGATTCGGAGCCTCTTCTTATAGATCAGGACTCTGAGTCCTGTCTCCAGACCCGTGCCTGGAAGACTGGGGTGCCATGCCGGGCTCAGTGGTTGAGCGTCGACCTATGAGCCAGGAGGTCATGGTTCGATTCCAGTTTTGGGCACATGCCCAGGTTGCAGGCTCGATCCCAGTGTGGGGCGTGCAAGAGACAGCCAATCAGTGATTCTCTCTCATTGTTGATCTTTCTATCTCTCACTCCCTCTTCTTTCCTCTCTGAAATCAATAAAAATTAAAAATAAATTTGAACAAGACTGGGGTGCCATGAAGTGCTGTTTTGTAGGTTTGAGAGAGGACTGGAGACCATACCATTTCCCCTTCCTTTCCTTGTGTCTCAGACCCCACATCCCAGGGGGAGGTGGCAGTGTGGGGCAGAATGAATACACTCCCATACTTACCGGTACCCACAGCCATCTTTCATGAAGTCCCCCACCCCGCACCCCCATACACACACCCTACACCCCCACACCCTAGGAGTTTTAAGGACCAGACATGCAGTTCCAGGTGCCCTGTTACCCTCCTCTGGAAAGGCTGCCTTCCTCCTGGGCGACCCCACCTGGCTGCCAACCTCACTTCTGATCATTCACCACTGGGCTGGGCTCTGTCTGCCAACCCTGGAAGGGGCAGTCACAGCGTCTTTGGTTCCATTCACCAGGTGGTATTTTTCCCAATCCCCAGCTTGGGATGAAAATGTGGTTTTTAGTGGGGAGCATGATTTTTTAATATTTCTTTTATTGATTTCGGAGAGGAGGAGAAAGGGAGAGAGAGAATTATTGATCGGCTGTCTCTTGCACGCCCCCTACTGGGGATCCAGCCCCACATGTGCCCTGACCGGGAATGGAATGGTGACCTTCTGGTTTATAAGTGGACACTCAACCACTGAACCATGCTGGCCAGGCAGGGAATAATGATTTTAACATGACCTTTTCTTTAAAAAAAAAAAAAATTTTTTTTTAATTGACTTTTTACAGAGAGGAAGGGAGAGGGATAGAGAGCCAGAAACATCAATGAGGGAGAAACATTGATCAGCTGCCTCCTGCACACCCCCTGCTAGGGATGTGCCTGTAATCAAGGTACAGGCCCTTAACCGGAATCGAACCCGGGACTCTTCAGTCCACAGGCTGACACTCTATCCACTGAGCCAAACCGGTTAGGTCTAATATGACCTTCCCCATCTCTCCCCCTTGCTTCATCATTAAAAGCTCTGCAACCTTCTCCGGAGGAGACCTCTCTCCTACACAATCGGATGCCCAAGGTGGCTCTACAGGGATCTGAATGCTGCCTGTCTCTGGGGCCCACGCAGAAGCCTCCTGGACCCATGGCCTTAAAGGGGGGCAGCGCCTGGGGCCTCCCCCAGGGAGGACTCTGCCTGAAGGGCCGGCCCAGCCAGTGCCAGCGCCGTAGGGGTTAATGTGGGACCGCGCGTAAAGGGAAGGGGAAAAAAGTTGGAGTTGACACTTAGGAGGGTGGGGAGTGGAGAGAGGGGAGCGAGTCTCGCTGACTCCTGATTGGTTTTACATTGCATCCAATTCCTCTCTCTCTCTCTCTCTCTCTCTCTCTCTCTCTCTCTCTCTCTCTCTCTCTCTCTCTCTCCTCTCCCATCCCAGGGGAGGGGAAACGGGAATAGTGAGAGATCAAAAATAAACCTCTTATGTCAAAGCCGGGCAGGAAGTATAAATACGAAGCGCTCGGCGGCAGCCCACTCGGTGCTTCCCGGGGTGGGGACGAGGCCGGGGCGGAGGGCGGGCGCGCGGCTGGGCGCTCCGATCACTCGTGCGCGGCGGCCCGGCGAGCAGGCGCGGAGCAGCGGGCTGCGCGGCCGGAGGGGCCGCCAGGGGACCGGGCGGCCGCAGGGCCCCGCGGGCCGAGACTCCGCGACCCGATCGATTTCCTTTTTCCTAGAGGGAGCGGCCCGGCCGCGCTCCCGCCGCCGCCAGCACCTGCCCGCGCGCCGGGCCGGCTTCTCCCAGCTCGCCCGCCGCCGCCGCCGGAGCCCCCATGCCCCGCGCCGCTGCCCGGTGGCCGCCGCTCCTGCCGCTGTCCCTGCTGCTGCTGCTGCCGCCGCCGCCAGCCCGCGGCGCCCCGGCCCAGCCCGGAGCCGGGGGCCCGGCCTCGGAGCTGGTGGTGCCCACGCGGCTGGCGGGCAGCGCGGGCGGCGCGGGCGAGCTGGCGCTCCACCTGTCCGCCTTCGGCCGCAGCTTCGTCCTGCGCCTGGCGCCCGACGCCAGCTTCCTGGCGCCCGGGTTCAAGATCGAGAGCCTCGGGGGCTCCGGGGGCGAGCCGCGGGAGCCGCGGGAGCTGCGCGCCTGCTTCTTCTCTGGCTCCGTGAACGGGGCGCCGGGCTCCCTGGCCACCGTGAGCCTGTGCGGCGGGCTGAGAGGCTCCTTCCTGCTGGACGGCGAGGAGTTCACCATCGAGCCGCGGGCCGCCGGGGGGAACTCCCTGCAGCGGCCGCACTTCCTGCGGCGCTGGGGACCCCGGGGGGCGCGCAGTACCCCGGCCCGCCCCCTCCCCCGAGGACCTGAGCCCGGGGCGCGGAAAGACGAGAAGGTAGAGAAGAAGGACGAGGCACCGGAGGAAGAAAAGAGGGAAGAAGACGGGTCCGAAGGCGCCCGCGAGCTGCCCGCCCCTCGGGGGGTCGCGAGCGGGAGGACCAAGCGGTTCGTGTCCGAGGCTCGCTTCGTGGAGACGCTGCTCGTGGCCGATGCGTCCATGGCGGCCTTCTATGGGCCCGACCTGCAGGTAGGACTCGCGTTCTGCCCGGGGAGGTCCCCTGCCCCCTCCCAGAACTTCCAAATGTTCCCTTTCTCTGTCCCTCGGAAAGTCCTACGCGTTCTCCACTCTTCCCAAGGCTGCGCCCCACCCCATCCCAACAGGGTTCTTTGCGTTCCGAGAAAGCGCGGGAACTCTTGGCTTAACCTCTGACACCTGGGCTACCTACTGCCCGCCCCTCACCCCCACCCCCAGGTCCCTAACAAATTAGGGTGCAGGTCCCAGCGTGTCCCCTTCTCAGCTGCTCTCCTCCCTCCCCCCATCTCTCCCTTCCTAAATCTCACTGAAATGGGTTTTAAGCATCCCCTCTCCTAACTCAGATGAAAACTGAGCGTTTGGGGGGAAAACGCCCACCCTCCACCCCGTTTCTCAATCCTCTGCTGTCTCCAGCTGGGTGAGGCTGCCATGGAAAGATGTGGCTATTTCATTCCCTTGCGGACAAGACCGAGGTTCCCACAAATAAAAGCTATGGTTTGGAGTGAACTGAACCTGGAAAGGGGCTGCCCCACGTCGGGGTGCCCAGCTGGTTCTGATCAGGGGGGCTGGGGAGGGGGTGTGGACTGCCTTGCCAACCTGGCGCTCGGCCCTGCAGAACTTGGCAGTGCCAGCATCCGCAACCGAAGGGAGGGGACCAGAGTTTCTGCCTGGGGGCTCCGTCCAGGAAACCGAAGCTTCAGTGGAAAAGGGAGGGGAGAAGGGAGTGGGAGTGGGGACTCTTAGGTGCCTGTTCTCAGTGGAACCAGAACTATGCTGGGTCCACCCCAGCTGATCTAAGCCCAGACCCAGCTCTCCGCAGAGCAGGGGGCGGGAAAGCTACATCCAGGGCACAGCCCCTATGGCCACGTGGTTTCTAACCAGATTTGAAGGTGGTGCAGACCCTGCAGGAGGGGACTGTGTTGTCCACAGACCAGGGGACGTGTGGGGGCTGTGCTCTCTCTCTTCCCTGGGGGGGAACACAGAACCAGTAACGTGCCAGGTAGAGAATGGACTTGCCTGGCGGTCACAGTGCCCTGAACCGGGGTCTGTGGCCCGTGGGGCAGCTCAGGGAGCATTTGCGCTGATGGAAATCTCGGCTGGGGATCCGATCTGAGCATTTTGGCATCACCTGTGCGGAAGAGACCAGACAAAGCGGAGCCGGCCCTTCTGTTTCACACCCCATCTTTCCCACCCCATGGTCGCTGGGAAATGCATTCTAGATGGAAGGATGGGAAGACTAGGGGGTGAGAGGTCCACATGGCTGCTCCTCTGGCCACTGCAGGGGCGGGTTAAACCCTGGCTGGGCCCTTCTGCATGCTATCTGTCACGTCTGTCTATCGGTCACGGGACTCCCTTCCCCCAGAGCACGGCAAGACAGCTGCTAGCCCTCCGGGCGGTCTGCCCCTCAGGCTCTGGGTCTACACGGACCTCTACCTGTTTCCCCGCCTGCCCTGCAAGTCCCAGACAGGGTGGCAGGAGGGGCTCCTCCCATCTTGGGTGAGGACCAGCAGAAAGAGGCTGAAGTATATTCATTGCAAACTCAGAGCTGAGCTGCTGGGCCCCTCCCCACACGTGGACCAGTGTCCGACATCTGCCTGCAAACCAGGAGGTCTGAATAACAAGACCTCGGAGAAGCCGCAGGAAAAACAATTGCTTGTCAGCCTCTAAAGCCAAAACATGTCCTTCCTAACGCCTTCCTCCCACCTCACTCTCTGGGCTCGTATAGACCCTGAAGATACTGAGCATTTGCATCCAGGATGCACTGGACCTCTGCAGGCACCAGTGCCACTGAGAAGCAAGCTCCAGGATGCCCAGGCCACTGAGCAGGAGGCTTGCTGCACCAGACAAGTTGGCTTTCTCCTCGCTGAGCCACTGGGGACGCCGACTCCTAGGATGCCTGGCTGGATGGCCTAGCGTAGGCTTACCCCATCCCTGCCCCTCCGCATATGGGCACAGAGGCGTACCTCTGTGCCCAGCTAGCCCAGGTCAGGAGAGCACATCAGAATGGGCATCAGGCACCTGGGAAGGCTGCCTTCCTCTCCCTCGGGTGACTACTGCCAGGCCTTACGCCTCAAAGTGAAGTCCTCTCCCTTGGTCTTGCGTCACTGCCCACATGCACGCCTGCTGGGCTGGGGCAAGGCTGAGGGACAGCCGGTTTTATGACTGCCCACAGGTCTCCTCACCAGCAATGGAGATGCCCCTGGATAAACTTGAACTTCTCAGCTCCATCCCCATGAGCTCACCCGAGAGAACGAATGTCAAGTCTGGGTCCCCAAGACCTTGCCTGCCCAGACCCTTCTCCTCAAAATAGAATCCAGTTCTTTATAAGTAAGTCTCCCGGCACCTTCATCGCACAGACACAGGCGCTTTGCGGGGTCTTAGTGACCGGGCACCTGATGAGGATGCAGAGAGACTTCACCCCCTCAAGGGCTTGGGCTTCTTCCTCTCTGAAGAGAGATACGTGGACGACGGGGTAACCTGGGCAGCTGCTTATGACGAGTCTTCGAGAAAGTCAGCACTGTGTGCAGGGAAGCCAGCCTGTGTGTGTTCAGCGTGTGGAGTGGTTTCCACACATCAGCTCAGCGGGAACACCTGTGCGGGATCAGAGGCAGAAGGTGCAGCCCGAGCAGCACGTGTGACTCTGGCTGTGTTCGGTGCCCAGCTGCCTGTAGTTCCAGGTTGGCCTGTGACTGTGGTTCTGTGGACTCCTGTCTAAGGTGACCAGACGTCCCACTTTTGATGGGACAGTCCGGATTTTTAACAATTTGACCCGCATCCTGTTCTTTCCAAAAAATCGGGACTTTTTAAAAAGGCTGCAGGTCGCAGGACAAATTGTTAAAAATCGGGACGTCTGGTCACCTTATCCCTGGCCCTTGTCCATACTGTGGGAATGGATCCTTGAATCCAGCTGTCCAAAGATGCCCCCCCAGCCTGATACCGAGAAGAGACTGCCGTCAAGGCCGAGAGTAAGAAGCAGCCGGGCTCCCGGCTGGTCTCACAGCAGAGCGATCATTTCCCAGAGCTCCATGCTTTCCAGTTCCCTTAATCCCTCCTCAGAGGGGCCCCTGCTTCCACCTTCTTATCTGGTTTCAGAGGGAAGGATCCCAGACAAAGGGGGCTTTCTGAAAAGAGGGACCACCTCGGAAGAGAGCATTAGCTCCGGCTGCATCCGGCTGCTGCTAGTCGCTCTGGATGAAACCGGAGCGGGAGCGAGGGTGGGCCCAGCAGCTCCCCGCTCAGCCTGGGAAATCCACCTGTCAGGGTTCAAGGCTGCGCTGAGCTTCCAAATTCCCTTCTCCACAGAGGGGGGTCCTAGGAATGGCACCCATTGTGCCCAGAGCAGACCAGAGGCTTCCCAATATGTCAAGCTATCTGCACGTGGTTTCAGGGAAGGGCTAAGTCATGGCCATTCCGTCTCCCCTTAACCATATCCTCTGGGGAAAGTATCGCCCACAAACCCTAACACGAAAGTGACTATGTATCCCGCGTTGCCCAGCATAGTCTCAGGTTGTCGGAAGTGACCTGCTTTGGAAAAATAACAGATAGGGATGCATGTCCCACTCTCTCTAGCCACCCAAGTCTTCTCGGCTGAAAGACAAATGTCATGTCCATGCAAAATTACTAGTATGTTCTCCCACTGGCAAAGGAATGAGTCTTTTTTTTTTTTAATCTCTTTTGTCTGGGGCAGTCAGAATGATCAACAATATGAAGTCTTTCCCAAAGAAAATACCTTATTATGCCACCTCAGCATGCCCCGGGGGTGAGCCCTGGAGTGTGTGCCTAGATGATGTTAAGGCTAGGCTGTTTTGTTTTCGTTATTTGTGTTTGTTTACTCTGTGTCATAGTTTTCCTCCAGGGAGTAAACAGGGAGGCAGACAGTGTCATGTTGAAGAGGGTAATGGAAATAACTTGAGCAAGTTACCTTAATTTCTCAGCACCTTAATTTCTTTCCAGAACAAGTATGCATTGTCCTGGCAGTGTGTTGAGGAAACAATAAATATGGAAAGCACCCAAACTAGTGCCCAGCACATAGTAGGTGCTCAAGAAAGCATAACTGATACTAGAGTTGCCTTTGGTGATGGTATCTGGCCCATCGTAGGTGTTCAACAAAGCATAATTGATACTAGAGTCGCCTTTGGTGATGGCATTTGTCAGAGTAGGAGGGCAGTATGGTCGCCTGCCATCATCGCCCACCGCTGCTGTGTCACCTCCGCTGCCCCATGGCAGAGAGGGTCTCCTTTCAGCTTGGCTTGGCTCAGAGTTTAATGCTTGACTCCTTACGGTTCTGATAAGTGCGCACCTTGGAGAGGTGGCCTCGCCCTTGCTGTTTGGTTGGGTTGGCAAGAACGGCACCAGGTATTATTAGATCAGTGGGGTTAGACCAGACCTGGGTTTAGCCACCTCAGTACCTGAGTTCTGGCTAGGAAAGAATTCAGAGGTGAGACTCAAACTAGAAGAGAATGTTTATTTGGGAAATCAGAGATAGAAGAAGTAATTTGTAGAAGAACAAACAACTGGCTTAGGTAACAAGTCATAGAGGTAAAGGAAGGACTCTTGGAGCTTAGAAGTGAGGAAGGTCAAGGTAATGCCCCTGGGGGGATGGGGAGGGGTAGGGGGAAGGGAAAGGCTCAGGCATGCTCCTGGGATGGAGAGCCAGCTGGGTCCGCTGTCCTAAAGGTTTTAAGGTGACGATTTTAGGGGAGATCCCGGGGGAGGATCTCAGTAGAATAGTCAGCTGCTTTCCAGGTGTGTCCTTTCAAGGTTGGGGTTGCCACGGATGGATTAGTGGGCACCAGGACAAGGGGTCCTTATTCCATGTAGCTGGTCCTGCGTTGACCATGGATTTTGCTTGTCAGGTTTTGCTGCTTTTCTGGGCCCGGAGCTAAAATACAACTGAGGCTTAGATGTTATCTCCAGGGAGGGAAGGTCAGGGGGTCCAGTGCTCATGACCAGTGATGTGCTTGGGAAGAAAGGTCACCCTGGGGACAAGTTCCCACCCTACCATTGTCCATTGCTGGCACCCAGGGCCCTGGTGACCTCTGTACCTGGCCCATCATCCTTGATCTGCTCATGTCTATCTGCCTACACATCTTGAGAATGAGGAGAAATGAGAGATACCCGTGTAGGACCCTCTCTTCTCCTATTGCTTCTTTCCTTTTTTTCTTCCCACTTCTTCCTCCTCAGCACAGTCCCGGGCCCTCGAGAGATGCCCAGAAGGAAAAAGGGAGAAGAGCAGTTGACGTCAGAGGGTTTCCCTTGTTTACCTCCCTCTCCTCACGTCTCCCAGACCTGCTGCCAGGAAAAGCAGGAGGACCCACGGTGCACAGAGCCAGTGTGTGGAGCAGAGCACTGGGGGCAGAAGAGGCTGCTGGAAAGACACTGGGCCCAGGCCCTGCCTCCCCTCAGCCCCACCCTCCTGGCTTTGGCTGCACCAGAGCTCTGGGGTGGGATCTCCTTGTCTGTAGCTCAGAGAATCAATAAAAGAAAAGAAAAACTTCCCTAAACTGGCTGGGGAAGTTCTCTCTTTTCCGGGTCCTGTGGGAGCCCGTGGAGAAGGAGACTCCTAGAAAGATGCCCCGCCTTCCCAACAGAGTGAAGGGCGTCAGATCCCGTCATTCAAGAGCAGGAGGTGTGTGTGTTTAACACCCCGGGCCTGCTGGCCATGGGCTCTGTCCAGCCTACTGGCCGTGCTTATGGGAAGTTGGCCGCTGTATGGTGACCCCATCCACAGGGGCACAATCTTACTCACACACCTCAGCCGGCAGCCTTAACTGGGGTGCAGGGAGGTATAACTAGATGCCAGGTGGGGGAGCGAGCCATCTGCCTTTCTCCTTCCTGGCTCTTGAGCCACTCCCCGAGGGACCATAACTCCAGTCTAGAGGGTTGGCTAAGAATCAGAGGCTCACCGACTCAGGGCCACCACCCCACCAAGGCCCAGGGGTCCTTCCCCCTGAGAAACCGTCTGAGGCACTGCAGGTTTCGGGCATTCCTGCCACTGTTTCTCAAAGGAGCTGGGAGTGGTGACCCTCCCATCTCCAAAAGCTCAGTGGGACAGAAAAGGTGGGTAAGTGGGATGAGGCTCAGGGATCTGTCACAGAAACACGGGGCCACAATGCAATGGAAGTTATCTTCTGAGATGGCAGCAGAGGACCTTCAACCGTCCTCACATCTAACCTCTCCTCTAACCCCATGGTTGGCAAACTGCGGCTCTCGAGCCACCTGCGGCTCTTTGGCCCCTTGAGTGTGGCTCTTCCACAAAATACCATGACCTGGGCAAGTCTATTTTGAAGAAGTGGCGTTAGAAGAAGTTTAAGTTTAAAAAATTTGGCTCTCCAAAGAAATGTCAATCGTTGTGCTGTTGATCTTTGGCTCTGTTGACTGATGAGTTTGCCGACCACTGGTCTAAGCCACAGGTAGAAGGGTATGAGGCTGTCCAGACAAATACCAGGAGGCAAAGGAAGTAGCCCTTTAGGCAGCTCAGCCCAGCAGTCATTCATCTGGAGAAGATGCTAAGAGCTACCTCAGCTGCAAAAAGAGGACTCCCTCCTCCCCCCCTGAAAACTTCAGTGTTGGGGAGCATCTAAAGCTTCACCCCATCCTTTGTGCGGCTGTTCACACCTTGGTTTACCCTGGGAACTTGGCCGTTGCATGGTGTCCACTCAGCCACTGGCCTGAGAGCCTCAGTCTGACCTGCCCCGCTTGGGACTGCAGACCCCTCTGCAACCTCACGGCTTCGGGTCTGTGTATAGTTTTCTGGGCTCAGTGCTGAGCAGCTGGCACCTCTTACCTCCACACCTTCTCTGTAAGATATCATCTCCCCAATTGCGAGATTATGAAATGGGGGACTCAAAAGGAAGAACTCTTAAGAGGAGAGTGGCAGGTTGCCTGGGAAGAAGTCCCAGGAGTTGGTTGCCGGCCCATCAGACTCTGGCTTTCCATACCCAGGGCAAGAGGCCAGGACACTCTCTCTCCCCCTTGGGAGCCATGAGGGGCTGCACAGGAAGTAGCCTCAGCAAGCTACCATTCCTCAGCCCTCACCCCTGGTTGCATAATGATGCGATTGCTTTTTCCTCTTCGGAATCCAGCTCCAAGAGCGAGCGCCAAGTTTCAGCTTTGCTGATAAGATGTTTACATCAGCCTAAACATAGCTGGAGTACTTGACACCCTCTGCAACCTGCCAACCCCTGTTGGTGGGGCTTACAAAATGGCCTGGCTGATCGCCCACGAGGTGAACAGACCGATCCCATTCACAAATGATGCGATGCATCTGGATCTCCCACACATGGCCCCAGACGGCGGGCGGAATGTCCCCCTCTAGCCTTTCACTCTCCCTTCCCCCCTCCCCGCCCCCCCACCTTCCACTCCCACCTTCCAGATCACCGGAGAGAAAAAGAGAGGCTTCTAGAGATGGTGCCCCAGAGAGCCGGGGCCAGCGAGTTGGCTGCTCAGCTGGCCACACTCACAGCGGAAGGCACTCTGTCCCTTTTGTCTCCTCTTTTGCAAAAGAACCCAAGAGAATGCACTCTCAGAGGCAGGAGCGTGAGGTCCAGGCTGGCCTCCTCCAAAGGCGTGGGAGCAGCTGGCAGCCCCGGGACAGGACAGAGGCCCAGCGATGACGTGGGCTGTCTCAGCTGGCCTGGGTGGGACTGGAAGCAGGTGTGAGCCTCAGCATCTGGGCCTCATTAGGCCCACAGGGCTCGCTCCAGCCCCAGGCAGAAGGGAATCAGCCCTTCAGGGCTGTCCAGGCGAATGCCAGGAGGCCGAGCACTGGGACACTTAATGAGAAGAATGTGGGCCCCGGAGACAAGCCTGGGCCACATCCCAGCTTGAAGAACCGTGTGGCCTTAGAAGTAAGGACTGTGATACCGCCTTCCCGGGGTTATCATGAGCATGTAAAGAGGTGACATTTATGATGTGTGGGTCCTGCGCCAGGAGCAGAAGGGCCATTGTTTGTAGTGACAACCAGAGTCAAGTTCTCAGGGTTAACATTTCATCCTGCAGAGTAGACTTCTCCTTGTGGACATCAGAAGAATACTGGACTCTCAGAGGGAAAATCTACCCAGATCATTGCTTCTGAGCTGAGAATGGAAAAGGGGGGGGGGGGGGGAGAGAAGCATGGCAGGGAGACGGCTGGTGTCAAGGTCAAGGCCCAATAACCAGCTTGGTCCAATAGAACTTCCTGTGAGGGTGGAATGTTCTGTCTGCTCAGTCCAACACGGTGGCCACCAGCCATAGATGGCTATCGACACACTTGAAACGGGGCCAGTGAGATGGGGGAGCTGTGATTTCAGTTTCTGATTTCAGGCTTTTAACGGGCTTTGATTTACATGACCACATGGGTTCGATCAAGATGTCAAATGCACGTGCTTCAGAGCCAGGCAGTCTGAGCTCATAGGTTGGCCGTGCTCTCCGTGGATTTGTGCTCTTGGGACACAACTTGCTCTTACGTGAAATAAAGGGTGTCAAGGGTGTGAGTTTTCTTAACAAGATGCTGTTTTTCTGGCACTCAGCCCAGAGCGGGGCACATGGGGTGGGTAACTAGAGGTGATGGCTGTGGGCAGGCGACGGGTTGGGGCAATGGTTGGCAAACTGCAGCTCACAAGCCACATGCAGCTCTGTGGCCCCTTGAGTGTGGCTCGTCCAAAAATACCATGACCTGGGCGAGTCTATTTTGAAGAAGTGGCGTTAAAAGAAGTTTTAAGTTTAAAATATTCAGCTCTCAGAAGAAATTTCAATCGTTGTACGGCTGACATTTGGCTCTGTTGACTGATGAGTTTGGGAGATGGAACCCTTCACTCTTCCTGTTCCCTCCTTCCCGGCAGAACCACATCCTGACGCTCATGTCGGTGGCGGCCCGCATCTACAAGCACCCCAGCATTCGCAACGCCGTCCACCTGGTGGTGGTGAAGGTGCTGATCGTGGAAGATGAGGCGCGGGGCCCCAGGGTGTCTGACAATGGGGGGCTTACCCTGCGCAGCTTCTGCAACTGGCAGCAGCAGTTCAACTACCGCAGCGACCGGAACCCAGAGCATTTCGACACGGCCATCCTGCTCACCAGACAGGTCCGTGGACAGGCTCCAGAGGCCCCCGGGGAAGTGGGGGGAAAGGCGGGGTTGGTGGGGTGACTGGGTCAAAGAGAGGGCCAGGGCCAGGGCTCCTGGGCCTGCCCAGACATAGGGAATGCCTCCCTGCTGGCCCCAGCTGGGAGCCTCGTGTGTGGAATGAGGAGGCGGAGGAGGTCATGGGGACAAGTGTGAGGTATTTGCAAGGGAAGGAGAGGAATGTCCTACGGGCTCCGCTCCAAATGTCTGTGACCAGCTGTCTGCTGAGGTCATAACTAGAGGACACGCCGTCCAGTGAGAGTTCTGGAGCGGGAAAGAGAGAAGAGGACCGTGTGCGATAATGATTGCACATACAGCCAGGTAGCCCAGGAGTTACCCTCAAGATCTCTCCAAACCAGGAGGCTGCCCATCTCCCCAATGAGACTGAAACTCCCAGCGGGAGGCATCCTCAAAGCTAGAGCTTGTAGTCCTGTGTTCAAGGCCCCGTCTACTCCTCAGTCCTCCCAACAACCCCACGAGGCAAGTTTCGTTGTACAGTTCCCCGACTTACAACCGAGGAAACTGAGGCACAGGGAAACTGCACAAGACAGCAGCACCCACAGTCCAGCCCAGGCTCCATGTTCTGGATCGCTGTACTGGCCTGCCTCCCCCACCAGTCAGCCAAGCCCCAGCCAGCCCAGCACAGGCCAATGTACAAGGAGAAACGGTCTCCCTTAAACCAGTAGCCCTTTGTGAAGAAAGAGAAATTTAGGCTTTAAAAATGTCCTTCAAGCCCTAACCGGTTTGGCTCAGTGGATAGAGCGTTGGCCTGCGGACTCAAAGGTCCCAGGTTCGATTCCGGTCAAGGGCATGTACCTTGGTTGTGGGCACATCCCCAGTGGGGAGTGTGCAGGAGGCAGCTGATCAATGTTTCTCTCTCTCATCTATCATCAATGTTTCTGGCTCTCTATCCCTCTCCCTTCCTCTCTGTAAAAAAAATCAATAAAATAAGGGGAAATGGTGAACAACATAGACTGATAAACAAGAACAGACCCAGAGATAAGGAGCCATGGGTCAGACTGTTGGACCTCAAAGGGAGGGTGGGAATAAAAGAGAGAAATCAACCAAAAGATTTATGTGCACACATATGAGCCTAACCAGTGGTCAAGGACAATAGGAGGGTGGGGCATAAGTGTGTGTGTGGGGGGGGGAGGGGGGACAAATATGTGATACCTTAATCAATAAAGAAATTAAATAAAAAACTCAATAAAATATGTATGTTTAAATCAATAAAATATATATTTTTTAAATGTCCTTTGACTCAGGAGGAGAAGGAATAGGGAGATGACTTCTGTCTGTTCTCACGCTCTCACTCTCTCCGCCTCGCAGAACTTCTGTGGGAAGGAGGGGATGTGTGACACCCTGGGCGTGGCGGACATTGGCACCATCTGCGACCCCAGCAAGAGCTGCTCTGTGATCGAGGATGAGGGGCTCCAGGCGGCCTACACGCTGGCCCACGAGCTGGGTAAGAGCTGCCCTGCCCATCTGCTCCACGCTACCCCTTCCGGTCCCAGGTTCGCCCAGCTCTGAGCAATCCCAGGCCCTCCCTTCCTCCCGGTCAGCCAGGCCTCCTCCTGATTCCGAGAGAATGGTCCCACGCCAATACGCACTGTGCCTTCCCGATTCCCACCCCAAACACAGCCCTGGGCCATCCTCTGGGATCGCCAGGAAAGTGCCCAGGCGTGAAACAGGCCCTGGTCCAGTTGCCATGTGTGTCCAAGCGAAGCATCCGGTAAGAATCCGGAAGATTGATAGTGAAGAGAGGGCGAGCAAATACTGGGGTTTCAGTCAGGCCGAGGCAGAAAATAAAGGGCTGCCCATGCTCCTCATGCTCTGAGAAAGCTTCCGAGAAGGGAAAAGCCCAGAGTGGAAAGGTCTTTACGGAATAAGAAGAGGGCACAGCGTGGCTCAGTGTTTGAGCGTGGACCTATGAACCAGTAGGTCACCCGTTCCATTCCTGGTCAGGGCCTATACTGAGGCTGCAGGCTGGATCCCCATTGTGGAGCCTGCAGAAGGCAGCTGACCAATATTCGCTCTCATCATTGATGTTTCTCTCTCTCTCTCCCTCTCCTTCCTCTCTGAAATCAATTAAAATATATATATATTTTTTTAAAGGAATAGAGGGCATGCTGCTCCCTCAGTTCCTCCCTCCCTTCTCTCCCTTCTTCTCCTCATCTAACTTCTCCACTTCTTTCTTCTCTTTTTCCTCTTTCCCCTTTTCTCTCTCTCTCTCTCAAAGTATGAGAGCCCTGGAGCAGGGTGGGGAGGGCTGCCAAGAAGTGGAGGTGTGAATGTAGACCGAGGGTCTCTCTCTGTCCCCAGGGCACGTCCTCGGCATGCCCCACGACGACTCCAAGCCCTGTGTTCGGCTCTTTGGGCCCATGGGCAAGCACCACATGATGGCACCCCTCTTCGTCCACCTCAACAAGACGCTGCCCTGGTCTCCCTGCAGCGCCATGTACCTCACGGAGCTCCTGGACGGTGGGCACGGTAGGCCTCCCTGGCCGGCCGCTGGCAGTGGCACTCTGCCTGGCAGGCTCCTTAGGTCCCTGTGGCACCTGTGCTGTTTCCACCTGAGCTGCATCAGGAAGCACCATAGCCATTTAGGGTTAGAAGAAGCTTCAGATCTGGCCCTTGCCCCTCGGCCTGTGCCAGGGCCTCCCATCCCCACAGAGCATGCTCTGTGTCCAGCAGCCTGAGTTCGGGCTCATCTAGACTCAGTCACAAAGCAGTTGGAGTTGGTCGGAGGAGGTGGGTCTGGAGGAGGTGGGTCTGAACAGAACTGGAAAGAACAGAAGAATGTTTGCAGCACAGGTGGCTGGAGGGGGGTATTGTAGGATAGCTTAGCAATGCGAAGAGCAGGGAGTGGGGATCCAGGCAGGCTGGGATTCTGCACCCCAAAACAGCTTGCTTTGGGGAGCAAAACAGTGAAACACTGTTTTGTGTTTTTTTTAATATATTTTATTGATTTTTTACAGAGAGGAAGAGAGAGGTAGAGCCAGAAACATCGATGAGAGAGAATCATCCATCAGCTGCCTCCTGTACATCTCCCACTGGGGATGTGCCCGCAACCAAGGTACATGCCCTTGACTGGAATCGAACTTGGGAGCTTTTAGTCCACAGGCCAGCGCTCTATCCACTGAGCCAAACCAGTTTCGGCAACACAGTTTCTTTTTTATTCTCCCCCTTGAAGGAGGCAGACACTGCATATAATACACAAACAATGGCTTATCCAAACATCAGCCCTTGGGCTTTATTTCACGTGGTGTTTAAGAGTTCATTTACACCCCCAGGTATAAAGACGGTAAACTAGTGTTAGACAGTTTGCTGGGTAAACACTGAGTCATAGAAGATGCTCTGGAAAACGAAGGAAATCTGATCTTGAAGATAGATGTTGTGATTGATAGTCGAAAATGGGATGGATTCTGTCTGGATGGATGGTGAGCGTTGAGTGTTGAGATTGAGGTCAAGGGAAGGCTGATGTCTAGAGCTTAAACGTGTCCATCGGGACTTTGGAGTCTAAGGGAGCCATGCGGGGGGGTGAGAGAGGAAATCGGCCCCTTACTCTGGCCTCTGCTTCCTCCATTTCTCAGGAGACTGTCTCCTCGATGCCCCCTCCTCAGCCCTGCCCCTCCCGACAGACCTCCCGGGGCAAAAGGCGCTCTATGAGCTGGACCAGCAGTGCCGGCAGATCTTCGGGCTGGGCTTTCGCCACTGCCCCAACACCTCCGCGCAGGACATTTGCGCCCAGCTCTGGTGCCACAGGGAGGGCACCGAGCCCCTGTGCCACACCAAGAATGGCAGCCTGCCCTGGGCGGACGGGACACCCTGCGGACCCGGGCGGCTCTGCTGGGATGGCAGCTGTCTTCCTGCTGAGGAAGTGGAGAGGCCCAAGGTGAGGATTGGCTCTGAGGAGCACGGGGGGGAGGGGGGGGGACCTGTTTGCAAGGAGAAGCCGCACTTGAGAGCGAGGAACTAAGGGACTCTGGGCTAGGCTACAACCAGGACTTCTAAGTAAAATCACTCTTTTTTTAAAAATATATATATTTTATTGACTTTTTACTGAGAGGAAAAGAGAAAGAGAGAGAGCCAGAAACATCGATGAGAGAGAAACATCAATCAGCTGCCTCCTGCACATCTCCCACTAGGGATTGTGCCCACAACCAAGGCACGTGCCCTTGACCGGAATCGAGCCCGGGACCCTTCAGTCCGCAGGCCGATGCACCATCCACTGAGCCAAACCAGTTTTGGCATCGCTCATATTTTTTAAAATATTTTTGTTGATTTCAGAGAGGAAGGGAGAGGGAGAGAGAGACAGAAACATCCATGATGAGACAGAATCATTGATCAGCTGCCTCCCGGCGTGTGCCCTGACCAGGAATTGAACCGTGACCTCCTGGCTCATAGGTCAACGCTCAACCACTGAGTCACGCCCGCTAGGCCGGTCATATTTTTACAAACAAAACAAAGCATGTTTATCCAAACACAAGAGGAGCCTTCGAAGCTGTGCTTGTAGTGAATGGATGATGCCTCCGGGGCCGGAGCATGTGAAAAGCACCCTGGGGGATGCTCTGGAGCTGACCTGGAGGCACTGGAGGTTGATGATTCGTAGGAGACACTCCGGCCCCAAGAGCAGAGTCTGGGCACTCAGTAAACGGAAGCCACTCTGGAGCCTTTTTTTTTTTTAATCGATTTTTTCAGAGAGGAAGAGAGAGAGATAGAGTTAGAAACGTGGATGAGAGAGAATCATCTATCAGCTGCCTCCTGCACATCCCCTACTGGGGATGTGCCTGAAACCAAGGTACATGCCCTTGACTGGAATCGAACCTGGGACCTTTCAGTCCGACGCTCTATCCACTGAGCCAAACCGGTTTCGACCACTCTGGAGTCTTTATAAACAGATAAGAGTGACTTGGAAGAAGACATTCCATCAAATGAAGGGCAAGGGCTCATATCCTACCCATGTCTGAGCTGAATTTATAATGAGAGTTCGGGAGAAGAGGAGTGATTGTGGGGATTCCATACTCAGGGAGGGGAAGAAGGAGGAACCAGACAGCCTCTCACAGGCAGAGAAAACTTGGCCCCAGGACACAGTGAATCTGCAGGAGAATCCAAGGCAATGCCGCTGGGAGTTTTAAATGATTCGCTTCTCTGCCCCGCTCTGAATGCTTCCAAACTGCGGGCTGATCACATTTCTCCTGCCGCGAGTCACTGAGCCGTCCCTGGGAAACGGCATCCGTGGAGTAGGGCAGCCCAGGCCTGGCCCGGCACTGAACTACCAGGGTGGCCCGAGCAGTCACTCTCCCCAGGGCTGTTCTCAGTGACAGCGTCCTCCGCACTGAGTCTTAGAGCCTGCTTCTAAGCCTGAGCTGGGGGCGGGGGAGAGGGGGGGAGTCACCACTTCACCCTCAGCCGCCTCTCATCCTCCCATCCGACACTGAACGTTGGGTCCAGGGATCTCCCTCTCCTGTAGGGTGAGCTTCACACATCACTGAGGAGAGGGGTGGGGAGGGGGTCCGTGCAGCCTTCCCCACGTCAGAGCCACGCTCAGTGCCGGGAGCGGTTAACTGGATGCTCATGGCATGCTATTTCTCATCTAATATTATATCAATGTAAAATAAAAATAAAAAACACATCTTTATGATTATATGTTCAACGCAAAAATATGGAAGGATATTAATGAAAATAGACATTTTTAAAAATACATTTTCATTTATTTCAGAGAGGAAGGGAGAAGAAGAAAGCGAGAAACATCCATGATGAGAATCATTGATTAGCTGCCTTCTGCATGCCCCACACTGGGGATCGAGCCCACACGTGGGCATGTGCCCTGACTGGGAATCGAACAGTGACCTCCTGGTTCATAGGTCGCCACTCAACCCCTGAGCCAGGCCAGCCCGGCTAGTTACACTGTTTTAATGTGTTGCTTGCTTTCTTACACTTTTCTCTATTTTCCCTTTTTTATATAAGCAAATGTTTGGGGTTTTTTCATTTTAAAAACTGCTTTCAATTTGAAAACCCTTGAGCGCGCCAATGAAGAAGCTTCGTCCTTACAGGCCAGCTGTAAAGTTCAAGCAGCTCTGTTTATTTCCCGGGGACTCTCTGGCCCCCAAAGTGGCTGGCCGACCTGCAGCCACACCTCCCAGCTGTTATTGCTTTAGACCAGGACTCCTCAACCTCGGCATACTGACAGGGGGCTGGTCGTCGGGGGTGTCTTGTCCATGGTTAGCTGTGCATTGCTAGGTGCTTAGCAGCCACTCAACCTACCCCCACTCAAGGCCAGCGTCATAGACCCTCTCCAGCTGTAACAGCCAAAATGTCTCTAAACACTTTTTGTTAAAAAATATATTTTAGTGATTTTTTTTTTACAAAGAGGAAGGGAAAGGGATAGAGAGCTAGAAATATCAATGAGAGAGAATCATCGATCAGCTGCCTCTTGCACACCCCCCACTGGGGATGTGCCTGCAACCAAGGTACATGCCCTTGATCAGAATCGAACCTGGGACCTTTCAGTCCACAGGCCAATGCTCTATCCACTGAGCCAAACCGGTTTCGGTTCTAAACACTTTCAAACGTCCCCAGTGAAGAACTGCTATGACAGAGCCAACCTTATTCCCATAAAAGCGTTTCATTCGACAATCAGCACTGAGTGCCCTGCTGCGGGCGGGCAAGGCGCTGTGGTGGTCACTGGGTGCGAGTCCAGCACGGGTGATGGCCAAGCAGGCCGTGCAGCTGTGAAATGAACGGTTAGGGCGGGTCACCGAACCCCACGCCTCATTCCCACCTCAGCTCCTGACTCCCGGGCTCCGTGTTGCAGGCCGTGGTGGACGGAGGCTGGGCCGCCTGGGGGCCGTGGGGAGAATGCTCCCGGACCTGCGGAGGCGGGGTGCAGTTCTCACACCGCGAGTGCAAGGACCCCGAGCCTCAGAACGGAGGGAGATACTGCCTGGGCCGGAGGACCAAGTACCAGTCCTGCCACACGGAGGAATGCCCCCCTAGCGGTAAGCATCATGGACAGATGGCCACATTCCCTAAGATCCCCAGAGGAGAACGGAGCAGGCGGTGTCCCCCGATCCCAAGGCAGCACCTTCCTATGACCCAGACCTAAATGGCTCTGTGAGGCACCCAGTTTTAGGGCAACTCCTAGCGCCCCAGGACAGCTCTCCTCATACGGGTGGGGGAGGTGGGGAAAAGAGGGAGTGTGGGTGGCAAAGCCTGGGAGAGGAGCAGCCCTGGCCTTCCAAGATATGGAGGTAGAGGATGTCACTCCCCACCAAACTCGTTTGGGGAGAGGAGGCTTGCAGAGGAGGCTAGCATCTGGGATAACATGCCTCCTGGATGCATCTGAACCCTCGTCTGTGTGTGGACTGGAAGCATTTTCCAAAGCCAGGGTCAGAGCCAAACCTCCAATGTCTTCCCAGTCCACATCCAGCCCCGGGCGGGCGGGCCGAGGGAAGGTTTCTGCCACTGACTCCAGTGCACGTTCCTTCAGGGGAGAGTTGCCCATGTTCCCCTGGGGCCATGGCAACTGCCTTGGGACCTTCCCAGGAGGCAATGCTCCTTGGCATATACCTCCCTTGGCCCACCCAAGTGTTCCTACCTCGCGTACCCATTAGAAAGCACAAGCACTGCCTCAGAGGCAGGCACGGGCAGCAGCCGAACTGGTGTGAGGGCGTCGTTGGGAATTCTGTCCCTGCCATCTCTCCCAGCTCCTCCCTACGCAGCTCCGGGAAGCATTGGCAGACAGCAGAAGGCAAGCAGAGCTTTTGAGAGAGAAGTCCAGAGACACACTGGCACTGGCTTGGTGTCTACTAGAGGATCTGTAGCAGGTTTGTGAAGGGGGAGAAACGGCAGTGCCAGGGGCTCTGGAAACAGCCTGGCATTGGGAGAGCCTTCCTGGCACACGGATGATGCCTTCCCTGGCACAGTGAGGGTTTGCCAGGTAGACACGGACAGCAGTTGTGATCTCAGATGCACTGGGAGGAGCCATCTCAAATCACAAGCGTCTTAGTGCCTCTTGTGAGGCTAGACTGCCGTCGATGTTATAAATGACATGAAAAAATGCACAGACCGCAAGGAATGTGCAGTATAGCTGGAGAGCCAGACCCTTTTACAAGGCCAGTAAAACTTCGTCTGTGAAGCACAGACTCCTGGCTCCTCAGGAATTCTGAGCAAGGAAGAGCCGGGACTGGTCAGAAGTCCCCAGGGGCGAGAGACTGAGGGACTGAGAGACTGGGGACTGAAGTGGTGAGGAGGCCTGGGAGGGTGGGCCAGGAGAGGAGGCGGTCTCCGAGGGGCTGTGACTCACTCACCAGGTGGAATGGGCCAGCCTCTCAAGAGCAGACAACAAGGTCCATGAAAGCTAAAAATGGCATCTAGAAGTTCTCAGTGCCAGTGTCCTGGCCAGTCACCCAGGAAACATTTTTCCAACCAGAGGCCCAGGCCCCTCTGAGTACCCATCAGAATCTGAGGAGTGGGGCCCAGCCATCTGTGTGTGAAAAATCTCCCTGGGCCACACAGATGCCCAGCTAACGAGAGCAGGTTCAATGCCAAGATAGTGAAATAAAGCTGTACTCCGACAATTGTTCTGGAAGTGGCAGACAGCAGGATGGGACAGGAGGCAACTGGCATAGGAGGCTGGGCACTAGGGCCCCAGGGAAGCCACAAGGCCTGGGCCTGTGAGAGGGAGGCTGAGGTGCTGAGAATGGACAGAGACATTGAAAAGCAGATTTTCCTGACGATAGAAGGATTTAGGGACAGCTCAGACATGGAGGATGTAGCGTCTCAGCCTGGAGCGCGGAGGTGTCACCCAATGAAAATCAATCCAGTTAGTGAGGGAACCATGTGCAGCTGGACTGTGCGGAGCTGGTAATCACCGCACCTACACATGGAGTCCCCCCACAGACACCCAGAATCGCAGCAGGTGGGGTGTAGGACGAGACTGGATCTGGAGCGGTAGATCCAGAATTCCCTGGCCACGTGTCCAGTGTCACCGAGGGAGTCAAGATAGAACATGGCAGCAGAGCCCCAAAAATATAATTCCTCGCGTCATTCTGAGCTTCCCACACTCACTGAATTATCCCGTTTCCACCTACATTTTTGCATCTATAAAACACAATATCTTCCTCCAAAGGAAAGGCCATTCAAACCAGAAAGGCCAGCAGAGGCCAGATGCTCCTAAGGGTCACACGTGGACCTGGTTCAGGTGGACCTAGAAATTCTGGGCCCAGGTAATGCTGGATCTATGTCCTGGGGTCAGGTCAAAACCAGGCGGGAAAACAAGGCTCCCAGATCCAGGCATTTCTCCAGCTGGGTCCTCCCTGCTTCCGCGCTGTGTGTTCACTCCTGTGCCTTTTTTTACTCTTTCCAGAGAAAAGCTTCCGGGAGCAGCAGTGCGAGAAGTATAATGCCTACAATTACACCGACCTGGATGGGAACCCCCTGCAGTGGGTCCCCAAGTACTCGGGGGTGTCCCCCCGGGACCGCTGCAAGTTGTTCTGCCGAGCCAGGGGGAGGAGTGAGTTCAAGGTGTTTGAGGCCAAGGTGAGACTCCTCCTGGAACTCAGAAGAGGATGAAGGTCACCTACCACCACCATCACCACCTCTCCCGACCCCCCTGCCTCTGTGCTCACCATACATACCCTCTTTTCCTTCCCCTTCTCCTGCTGCAGGTGATTGATGGCACCCTGTGTGGGCCAGAGACTCTGGCTATCTGTGTCCGTGGCCAGTGTGTCAAGGCTGGCTGTGACCACGTGGTGAATTCGTCTACGAAGCTGGACAAATGTGGGGTATGTGGGGGCAACGACAACTCATGCAGGAAGGTCTCCGGCTCCCTCAACCCAACCAGGTGAGCCTCCTCGTAGTTCAGTACCAAGGTCAGGAGCAGAACAGGCTCTGGAATCGAGTCCCCTTATAAATTTCCATTGTGCTGCTACTTAATACCCATGGAGTGCTGCGTTTCAGTGTCTTGGTAAAATGTCAGCAGTCCTCCGTATCTCATACTCGTTGTACAGAGCCAAGCGATGGGACATGGGAGTACTCGATACAGGGTCTGGCCCACAGAGAGGACCGTGCATGGGGCAGCCAGAGGCCACAGGGACACAGATGGATCACCTCTGAGTCAATCAACATTAGAGCTACACACTGAGTAACCAGGACCTTTGCCAGAGAGCAGCTCTTCCAGGCCTGTTTGAGGAAGGGCATCTCACCCCACTCCCGGCAAGCCTGTCTTTTGGCAGCTGAATCTTTAGAAAGGGGGGTACAGAGGGGTCTCAGAGGCCTCTGTCTACATAAGTCTGAGCACTCCAGATGCTTTCTCACAGCTTAATGCTCCTAGTTTTTAAGTCCTTTCACCTCTGTGACCTTGTTTGATTCCTAAAATAAATACCTGAGGTGGGCAAGGCCAACACTATTATTCCCCATGAACAGATGAAGAAACTACGGTTCCATAAGATTACCAGACTCTTCTAAGGTCACACTGATCATTCATAACAGCCAGGAAAAGAACCCAGGTTTCCTAGCTCCTGGATAATCTTCTTCCTGCCTCTGCAGGCACTTCTGGAGAGGAAGGCAAGGGCAGGTGCTATGCAGCCACTCTGGGCCCCGTTTCTCTCTGTCTCACATTTCATCGGGCTCAAAAGAACAGGATCAGGGCACAGCAGACAACCTGGAGGTCTCTCCAAATTTAAAATCAGAGGATATAGAAAAAAGAAATCTGGAATATGGGATGGTAGATACTGGGTCCCCCAGCTAGCTCTCTCTTAGGATTTAGACAAATGGGCCTGTGTATACATTCTCTCTCTATCTATCTATCTATCTATCTCCATATATATGTATATATATGTATGCATTGATTTCAGAGACGAAGGGAAAAGGAGAGAGAGAAAGAAACATCAATGATGAGAGAGAATCATCAATTGACTGCCTCCCACAGGCCTCCCACTGGGGATCGAGCCTGCCACCCAGTCATATTCCCTGACTGGGAATCGAACTATGACCTCCCGGTTCATAGATCAATGCTCAACTGAGCCATGCCAATCGGGCCTTATGGATACTCTCATGTGCCCTAGACTAAGCAAGCTGGCCCCAAGGCAAAAACAGTGAAGAACCAATTTGCCGTGTTCCTCAGCCCCTTTCACTCTCTTCCCACCCTGTGTCACCCAAATGCTCCCACCCCAGAAGATAATAAGAACTAACATTCCTCCAGACCCATAAAGCCCTACCATAGCGTCGAAATAGTTTCCCAAGGCAGATCCCATCCACCCAGAAGCACGGCTCGAGGTGTCTGGGTGCATCAGATGGCGGCTCTTCTGTCCGGCTTCCCACCCTAGAGCCACGTGAACCGTACAGAGAGCTATGGACTTTCAGAGGTGGGGTGAGGCGTCGGATGCTGGAGTGAGAGTGTGGGACCCATCTTTCCACATGGGTTTGAGCTCTGGCTATGAAAGTGGCCAAGCCAAGTTTTATCCCAGTGCAAAAACGAGATGTGACTGAGGTCTCATTGTGAGCCAAGAGCTACCAGGCTTGGCAAAACCCTCTGAGCGGACTTCTTCCCATGCAATTGTCAAGACCCACACATCCCACCCGTTCAGCCAACACTGGAAATGGACTTGTTAACCCCCCTGGCTAGTTGATATGGAGCTTCGAGGCAACTGCATCATCATTATTTGCTACTGGTCCTGTCTACCAGTCCCAGTCACCAGCAAATTCGCTTCCTTAGGTTCTGGGCTGGGAAGATGCCGGTCTTGAGAGTGTCTTTTTGTCCCTGTCCTAGTTATGGCTACAATGACATCGTCACCATCCCAGCTGGTGCCACGAACATCGATGTGAAGCAGCGGAGCCACCCGGGAGTCCAGAACGATGGCAACTACCTGGCATTGAAGATGGCAGATGGGCAGTACCTGCTCAATGGCAACCTGGCCATCTCCGCCATAGAGCAGGACATCCTGGTGAAGGGGACCATCCTGAAGTACAGCGGCTCCATGGCCATACTGGAGCGGATACAGAGCTTCCGGCCCCTGCCCGAGCCTCTGACCGTGCAGGTCCTGACAGTCCCCGGTGAGGTCTTTCCCCCCAAGGTCAAGTATACCTTCTTTGTCCCCAACGACGTGAACTTCAGCATCCCGAGCAGCAAAGAGAGGGTGACCACCAACGTCATCCAGCCCCTGCTCAACGCGCAGTGGGTGCTGGGAGACTGGTCCCAGTGCTCGAGCAGCTGTGGGGCTGGCTGGCAGCGGCGGACTGTCGAGTGCCGGGACCCCGGCGGCCAGGCCTCCGCCACCTGCAACAAGGCGCTGAAGCCCGAGGATGCCAAGCCCTGTGAGAGCCAGCCATGCCCTCTGTGACCTAGTGGGGCAGGGCCAGTCTTGTGCTCACGGACTCTGGCTGCTGGGGTGCAGACCAGTGTCCCCACGGTGGTGACCCTCCGTGTAGAGGTGGCATAGCCGGCCCAGGTCTCCCATCGCACCAGCCCCGCCGGCACGGGGAGAGGAAGCGAGAATGGGCCAGCAGATCGTAATGTCTACTTTCTCATGGATGGGACCTTGCTTGGGTTCAAGTAGAGGGCATAGGTTAAAGGTGAAAAGTGCACCAGACCCAACCAGGAGACTCATGGTGCCTTTTTTTGCAAAGGACTAGCAAAGTCAAATGGGAAAAGAAAAAATAATTTTCTATTGGGTTTCCCCTATAAATAATCTACCTCAAAGGGGAAAAATTTATCCAAGAGAGGTGTGGGGCAGAGGGTCATTGGCGGATGTCAAAGCAAGCTCCTAAACTGGCTTCCAACGTGGATCATGGCTCTCGTCAGTATTAAAGCCCATCACCTGGGAGGCTGCAGGGCTGTGGAGGGCCATGTGTTCTCAGACCTCCACCTGCAGGGGTAGATCCCATTCAAGTATTTATGCAAATGTGTCTCTGAACTAAAGCATGATTTCGTGCCAACATCGTGGTCTGGTCTGGTTCCGTGTTTCTCTCCAAGGGGCAAGGACCCGGAGCCCCAGGACAAAGGCTAACACTCAGTCCGCACCTTGAACACACTGGGAAGCAGGGTCTCACCTAGTCCTTTCCGGCTCTTCCTTCCTCCGGGGGGCTCTCAGGCACCTGCTGGAGCAGCTATTCATTTGCATCATCCAGACAAGTGGTCCTCAAACATTCGTGGGCTTTATGATTATCTGGAGAGCTTCTTGAAACAGAGATGGCTGGGCTTGTCGTTTCTGACTCAGTAGGATGATCCTAATGTAAGGTGACCAGACATCCCAATTTTTAACAATTTGTCCCACGTCTCACAGCATTTTAAAACAGTCCTGATTTTGGAACGCCACGGGACTTGGGACAAATTGTTAAAAATGGGGACTGTCCCACAAAAAGCGGGACGTCTGATCACCTTATCCTAATGCTCCCGAAAGGAGAGTCTGAATTGCCAACAAGTTACCCGGGGGGGGGGAGAGGGGGGGCGCGGAGGCTGCTGGTTTGAGGGTCACACTTCGAGAATCACTGCCCTGGTAGAAACTTCCAATGCACAGGAGTCGGGGTTATGCGATGCCTCTGGGCTCCTTTTTCTTTTTCTTTTTTTCTAAATACATTTTATTGATTTTTTACAGAGAGGAAGGGAGAGAGATAAAAAGTTAGAAATATCGATGAGAGAGGAACATTGATCAGCCGCCTCCTACACACCCCCCACCGGAGATGTGCCCGCAACCAAGGTACATGCCCTTGACCGGAATCGAACCTGGGACCCTTCAATTCGCAGACCGACACTCTATCCACCGAGCCAAACCGATTTTGGCTGGTCTCTCTTTTTTTTTTTTTATGAAAGACTATTATCCCCTCCTCCTTGACATGCGTCCCCATCCTCACCTTTACCCACTTACCAGCTGGAGGTACAAGTCCCTTAGGGTCTGAGGGATTCGGAACCCTGGCTCTTTCTCACCATACCAGACCCATCCCCTTCCCATCTCTGGGCCTGAGCCATTACAGCTGTCCCCACGGGCCCTTTCACACAAAGGGCACATCTCCCCTGTCCCCAGAAACCTCCCTATAAAACCCCCTCTCCCATCCCTAGCTCCTCGTCTCTTCCCAGCTCACGGGAAGTCTGGCTCAGTCTTCCATGCGGTCTGTTGTAGATGATACGTAGTCATTGGTCATCAGTGGGTGAGGAGAAACAGACACCTTCAAGAAACAACATTCTAGCAAAAAGAAAGAAAATATATATATGTTCATCTTCCCTTCCTTGTCACCTTTCACCCATTAGCCCTTTCCTTTGGTTTTCTCTTAAGACCCCTTCAAATATAGGGTGACATGGACAAAGAAGATGCCCTATAGAGCCCCAGGTGAATGAAAAAATGGGCCTGCTAAGGACTCAGGCCTGTGGACATGAGGCAAATTGGATTTCAACCCCTACCGTGCCCTTCACTCAGGGGTAGGGAACCTTTTTTTCTGCACAGGGCCATTTGGATATGTATAGCATCATTTGCGGGCCATACAAAATTATCAGCATAAAAATTAGCCTGCTGTATTTGGTCAAACATCTAATTATCTCACCCCTAATGTCTTGGCAAGGCCAAACCAAAAGATTTCACAGGCCTTAAGATTTCACCCCCCTTGCCTTAGCTGGTCTCATTAGTGTGGTGCACCATGGCTGTTGACCAGTTGTCCCGTTGGCCCTTCTTATCTGCCAACGGTTGGGTGAGTGGGGGGCGGGCTTACCTAAACATAAACAAGCACTCACACAGGCATGCGGATGATGACTAGTAACACCAGAGTTGTCCTTGCTGTGCATCTGTACGTTTCTGCCATTCTTCCTCTCCTTTCATTTCTCATTCTCCCCCCAAATAGTCAAGGCCAAGTGTGTCCCCCCATTAACTGCTCATGCCAGCCCAGCTGTGCCATCCCTACCGCCTGCATCCTACCAGGCACAGCTTTCGCCCCAGAGTTCAGCTGGCAGCGGAGCTGCTGATGTGCAAAGCGGAAAGGAATCCAGCTTGGCTCTTCCTCGCTGTGTAGGCTCGGCCAGGCTCACAGAATACATACTTGTTTGTGTCTGGAAATCCAACAGCTGCAGCTCAGGGCCTCAGAAAACAAATCTGCACAGAGAGGCCGCACCATGATTTCCCACAGCCAACCACGACCACCCCTTTTTGCCCAGATGAGAAAAGACTGTGTTTGCGCTGCTGGGAAGTTGCATGTTGCAGTTAGCGCTCCAAATGGATGCCGGTACCGGTGCCTCCTCCTGGGAGTCCCCATGGCCCTGACTTGGCAGGTAGCTTGGTCAGTCATCTGTATCCTCTGAGCACCTGCCGTTAACATCTCATCAAAGGGGATGGATTAGCATCCAAGTTCGTTTGCAATTTTTCATCCTTGAGCTAAGTGAATCCTTGCCTGAAATGTATTTTCTGCTTTTACTCCCCCATAACTGACCAGAGAGTTTTGTGAATTTGCAAAAGGGTGCAACACAATTGTTCTCAACCCATTTTAGCAAAACACCCCTTTCTCCCAAGAACATCTTCAGGGGTGATGGGGCCATTTTCCCACCAGCTCTACATCTTGCTCTCAGATGACGTCCACTAGCTTCTAGACCCTCCGTGATTGGGCTTTTTAACCAAGTTTGGGCTTTTTAACCTCCTAAGGAGGGCTGCCCCACCTTCCTAACATCCAGTCGTGTGGTGCTTCTTTCCTCTGGACCCTCTTCTTTTTGTCCAAGCTTTGCTTCTCCTGCTAAAAATAAATAAATAAAATAAAATGAAAGGCCAAAAGAAAATTGTTTTAATGACAAGAACAATAGGAAAGTTCTTCAGAATATGTTGGCTTTGGCTTTGTGATCCAGGGAAAACAAAGCAAGTGGCTTTGTCACCATTGCGTGCTGGAGTGTGTGAGGCAGGGTAACCGCTGAGTGCCCATGGCCCAGGCTCCCCGTATCCAAGTCTCCCCTCTGATCGGAGAGAGGCTCACAGGCCTGCAGCCATTTCTACTTCATGTGGTGGGCCTCGCATCACAGGAAGCAGCGGCACCCCCTTTGCTGTCTGGAGATTAGGAATGGCTTGTCCCTTAGAGTGAACAGAAATCTGGAACTTACTAAAGAGACTCACATGTGGTATTACCCCTGAGTTTCTAGGTTTCGGCCATTGCTCATGACTTCCTTTTGCCTCTGTGGTACGCTGAAGCTGTTGCTGAACATGGGGCCAAGATAAGACACAAGCCAAAACCGTTTGGCTCAGTGGATAGAGCGTCGGCCAGGTTCGATTCCCGTCAGGGCATGTACCTTGGTTGCAGGCACATCCCCATTGGGGGGGAAAGGGGGTACGGGCGGCAGCTGATGGATGATTCTCTCTCATCGATGTTTCTAACTCTCTATCCCTCTCTCTTCCTCTCTGTAAAAAATCAATAAAATATATTTAAAAAAAGATAAGACAAGAGAGAGGGTGAAGATAGCGAAGGCAGTGTCCTCAGTAAGTTAAGTGACTGCCTAACTCCTGTCCTCCTCCTGGCCTGCCCTGCTCTGTGTATATTGGAGGAGAACCCCTAAGTGAAGAGAAGAATACTCCCACCAGCGTACCCCACCCCCGAGTTCACCATCAGTTAGACACTAAGCCATCCCAAGACCCTAAGCAGGTACTGCCCATAGGCATTGAGTAGAAGGTAGAGGAAGGGAGCACCCTGCCCTGAGGAAGATAAGCGGGGACTTGCTCGCCTTTGGGGGCCCTTGGCTGAAGGAGAGAAGGTCTCTATGAGAAAGCTCCCCTCCAGCAGAACTCATTTTCCCATGGCCCCAGCCTGAGCTGCAGCTTTAAGAAAATTGCATGTGCATCTGGCTAGGGTGGCTCAGTAGTTGAGCACCGACCTATGAACCAGAAGGTTGTGGTTCAATTTCTGGTCAGGGCACATGCCCAAGTTGTGGGTTCCAATCCTAGTAGGGAGCGTGCAGGAGGCAGCTGATCGGTGATACTCTCTCATCATTGATGTTTCTATCTCTTCTCCCTCTCCCTTCCTCTCTGAAATGAATAAAAATAAGTCTTTTATAAAATAAAATAAAATAAAATTGAGTGATAACCAACCCATACCTCCAAAAACCTCACAGACACAGCTCCAGGATTGGGAAGACAAAGACGATGAGACCCCTGTACAAGCACATTCTGCACAGTAATGCTAGTGCAGGGAGAAAAAAAATACAAGAGGCTCCTAAGTTACCTGTCTCATTGAGAACAGACTCCCCCTCGGGCTTTGGGTGGGGCTCAGCGATGAGAGACAGGAAAGTGCTGGTGAGTCTCCCACCCCTGTGAGCTGCCCAGCCTACCCTTGGAAGATGCATGATCGCCTCAGGAAGAGAGAGAGTCAAGAAGCCTTGCTCAGA